TCCATCCCCGGGATCGGCCATCTCTGCAACGCCAGGCGTGGCGACGGCTGTCTCGGGACTCAGAACAGGCTGATGTGGATCAGACAGCAGGGAGGAAGGCGCCTCCTCTTGATGTCAACCTCGGGCCTTTGAAGTGATCTGCCCTGAAGTAGCAAACACCCTAATTGATACAGCCCCAGACCATTTTTGTGTTGCTCTATATTTAGACCTTCTGGAAGATGCTCCCGTGGGTATTGCTGGTGTTGTTGGTTTGTTGTCCTCTAATGACTGGTGAGCACCTTCTGTAATCACGCCCTGCGCCGACCTCGGCCAGATTTTAGCATCAAATCTACTGCACAATTAGTGTCCTGCCTACGGCCAGGATTTAGGAATTTAACAGAGACTTGGCACATCTGGAGTCCACACCCAGGGCTTCTGACGCCCTCCCCGGGGCTGTTTGTCCATAGACCTGGGTGGCGGGCGCCAACCGGTCAGCATGGGGGGCTTCGGGTGACAGTGGCTTTCGCTGGCTGGGTTGCGGGCACCTCGGCATCCTGAGTTACCTGCTGCGGCCGGCAGGTGTGCATCTCACCTGGCCTTGCAGGCTCCTTCCCCGGGGATGAGTGTGCCCTTGCACACGACAGTGTGAGGGACTCACTTTGCCACATCCCTCAGCCTAGAAGGACTTAGGACCATTGAGAGCTGCAGGCTCTGGGGGTGCAGTCCCAGGCTCCTCAGCTGCCTGGGGTCTGGCGCCTCGGAGTTTCTCGGTGGCCTCTTATGAGCTCTCCACCCTTGTGCTTTGGTGCCCACCGCTGATGGGCATTTCCATCCCCAGTGGCTGGAGGATCTGCTGCAACAAGTGGGAAGGGCGTGTTCCCCCCCACCCCCTTGGTCTCCCGTGAGCGCAGTGGAGGGGGCGTGTGCGCTGCTCCACAGGCGGAGGGAAGGCTCTGGCCAGGTGGGAAGTGGCTGCTGGGAGAGGGACTGGCACCACCAGGCTGGGTTGGGGCCCGGCCGCTTTACACAGAGCCTCAGACAGAGCGTCTGCTGCTGGGCGCCTGCGCTGGCTTTGATGTGGCAGGCGTGGGAACCAGCCTGTGGGCAGCAGGGCAGGGCTAGCCTGGGAAGGAGGCCCGGAGTTCACAGCCTCTGTAGGTCAAGGCCTCGAGCTTCCAGCCGTATCTGCACTCCATCTCCCCCGGCCCCTTCGCAGACCGTGTGTCTAGACAGCTGTGGAGTAAAACACTCAGTATGGAGTAGGAATTCAGCCAGCCGCTCTGGCTGCGCCCAGCAGACAGCCCTGGGGTGAGGATGGGGCCCACCAATCCCCCTTGGAGCAGGCTGGAGGGCCTGATGCTTGTGAGGCCAGCGAGTCCTGGGGAGGCGGGGGCCAGATGGCACCCAAAAAGCATTTTGGCCTCCTGGACACGAGCATCTGTCTTGACCCACAGGTCTGCCCTGCTTTATGTACAGAGATTTCTGCCCACGACTAGAATTCCGGGTTAACATATACTAGGAATGCAGGTCTGAGAGCTGGAAGCCTGTGCTCATGTTTAATCAGGACGCTCGCTGGCTGTGAGAAGTCACTGCCTCTCTGAGCCTTTCTTCAGAGACGGGGGGACATGGGTCGTGACCCCCAAGGTGCTTTTGATAGGGCTTTCTAAGCTGGGAGGTGAGAGATTCCTCCCTGTCTCAGTTCAGGGTTCATATTATAAGCCCCACCAACCCCCTGATCCGTGTCCACTCTCATTTCTTCCTGTCCTGTGGTTGTCCTTTACAGTCTAGGAAATGTTTGAGTGAATAAAAACCCAGACAAGGCCCTGTCGCTGTTACCCAGCACAGAGGGTGTGACTCCATGGCCTCTTGGGCCCCAAATTTCCTCCTCTTACATTCAGGTGAGAACTGGTTCTTGGGGAAACTCTGGGCTCGTTTTGCTGGTGTCCACATCTCAAGCTCGCTTGGTCACTCAGGCGTGGGCGACCGGGGCTCTCCTGGCCCTGTTATCATCGGAGGCAGGCGGTGTCCCAGGAGGCCTGGCCCACCGCAGTGAGCGGCACCTGGCCCTCGACAATCTCCCTCGTGGGGAAGTGCCTCCCCTCTACGTCAAGCTTCAGCTCCCCCAAAGCCTCTGCCTCCTTCCCTCTAAGACTGAGTTGAGACTTGGCAGAGAAGAGCCCCAGGGAGCTGGAAGCCTGTGCTCATGTTTTAGGTCCCTCTGTGTCCAAACCCCTGAGGCCAGGGTGGTGGGTTTCCTGTGGGGGGAGGCATGGGGGTGAGCAGAATGCTAACTGAGGTCTCCAAGTGAGCCCAGCCCCCTAGCTTTCTGATGTGGTTCCAGTTGGGGCCGAGCTGACACGGACCGGGCCACCCATCTGTGCTTCAACTCCATCTTTGCCTTGAAGTTGGTGGAAAGCAACTCTTACTTGGGCGGAAGCCTGGGAGCCTTTGCTGCTATGTCCCCTTGCCTGCCTCTTGAGCCCAGCCCTGCAGGCCCCTCCTAGGCCCCAACGAAACAGTAGTGTCCCCCATGGGCCTCCGGCGAGTGGCCGAGTGCCCGTCACCGGCTCTGACTCCGGCCCACCCACCACTGGGACTGTGGGGTGAGGTCATTCCTGGCCAAGGCGGCTGGCTTGGGCCCAGGGTAAACAGGCCATGCTGAGCTGTGCTGAGCTGGCTGGGGTGCTGCTGGACGCCTGGAGGGGCGTGGGGAGGCTGTAGCCCTGCCCCCAGAGCAGCACTGTGTCCCCTGGCCTCAGCGCACCCAAGGGCAAAGGGTCGATGTCAGAGCAGACCTGCACCACCGCCAGCCGGAGACCTGGGTGACCAGACCAGCTGCTGCTGTTTGGTTGGGGTTTCCACCGCTGGGGCTGCGCAGACCCCACACTGACCGTAACTGACTCATGACGCTCTCACATGAGGACCCAACGCAAGCCAGGCTCGTCCAGAGGCCGTTAAGTCACTGACTTCCCACAGAAAGCCAGTGAGATGGTGGGATCTTGATCCCTACTTTCCAGAGGAGAACACTGAGGGTGGCAGTGGGGGGACGCTCAGGCCAGGGTTGCACCGGACCGCCTGGCCCTGGGTCTGTGCTCTGACCATGAGCTAGCTGGGCCTCCCGGATCTGTGATAAGGGGTGTTCCTTCTCATGCAACCTCTTTATTTTTTTTTTTATGTCAATGTTGCTGTTTATTTAACGTCACTAGACATTCTTTCTGATAAATTCAATCTATTTCCACCCCAGACCATTGAGATATAGCTCTCCCATCTCTTCATTATTCCTCTGGCTCTTTTTGTTACAGGGCAGGGAGAGGGGCAGCCCAGACCCCGCAAACCTGCCTAAAATCAAGCACCCAAAGTCACCCGTCCCCTCGCGGGTAAAAGTCCATCCAAATGGGATTGGCCCAGAGCAAGGCCCCAAAGCCTGCCACAAGTCTAAAGCATCTTCCAGTGGGGACCCACAGAAAAGGGTCAGAAACAACCAGACAAGCCCGGAAGGAAAAGAGCAAAAGCAAAATCAAGACAAAACCCGCCACTGTCCCCTCCCCACGGGTCTCACCCACATCTGTGTCACCCCATACACCACCAAAAAGCAAGCGCAGTTTCTCCACGTGTCTCTTGGCTCCATGCACCTCCTCCAGGTCTCCTCCTGGCTCCATCCTGCTTCCTTCCTTCCTCAGTCTCCTCTGCAGCTTCTTCTCTCCCTGCTCAGCTCCACCCTCCCTTGGGTGGGGCAGGAAACCTGGAACCACCCCCTTTCCTGGGGACCACCTGTTACACTTTCATCCCACTTTCACGATGCTAATGTCACTTAGTCTGCTTCCCTTCAGGTCTTCAACTGAGTCTCCATTATTTTCAAGACATGAGAGTAAGTGCTTGTGGGCAGGCCGGGCTGCCTTCGGGTGCAGGACAGAGCTCTGGGGTGGAGCCGCGTGTCAGGCGGCGCAATCAGCTTGGGGTCTGAGGTCCTTCCTCGCCATCCCTACCTCCTCTGACCCCGCATCTTCCCGGCCAGCAGCAGCCTATTTGAAGGGGCTTCTGGGGCCCAGGGCTGTTAGTGGATTCGAGTCTGGGTTTGGGGTTGTCGTCCCTGTTTAAAGCCCTGCTCTGTCTCAAGTCACCAGTCACCTGGAGCCTCAGTTTTCTCATCTGTTAAATGGGGCCAGTGGTCACCCACCGTGTCCACTGGCATCCCTGGCAGGGCGAAGCTAATGTAACCATCCTCCCACCCACCCCATCTTCCCGGCCCCCTCGCCTCTTTCTTGCTGCGGACATCTCAAGGACTCTGGGATTGAATTTGGCACGAGGCCTGAGTGGGTCTTTCTGGGCCTGGTCAATGCTGTTCTGGGCAGCTGCTCACTGGACTCCAGGAATGAAGGCCCAGGGAGCTCCAGGGAAATCCAACTCTTCTCGGCCCTGGTGACCCTAGTTGACTTTGTTTCGGTTTGAAGAGTTGTTTGGGGCTCCTGACTCTGCCTGGTCTCCGCAGGGCACGGGGATCTGGGTTGGGGACCAGAGGTGGTCTTCTCGGGTCCTGCTGTCCGGGGTCCTTGCTGCCCCTCGTAGGAATCGCATGCACTTAGCACAGCGTGTCCTGGCCTTGAGCTGTCCAGGGCTTGGGATGAACATGCCCGTGGTAAGTGGAGGCAGATCCACCCTGTCCTTCTACCCCGGTGGGGGGAGGGGGAGCTCGGGATCCGCCGCATCGCTAAGCCAGCCTGGGCAGTCTTGCCCCAGATCCTGATGTTGCCCTCTGTCTCCTGGTCTCCAGGTTTGTGCCGAGAGCTTCTGGTGTGGCGAGACCCTGAATGTGTCCAGTAACCTTTCCACGAGTACCTCGGCCTGTGGCTTCCGTGCCCGGGGCCCACGCAGCTCCGTGTTGACTCTAGTGGGTGGAAGGGAAGTGGGCCTGACTTCGGTTTTCTGCGGGGCCTGGTGCACACGGTGACCTGTGACACTCACTTGCCACACCCTGCTTGCCTGTATCCCCGGGGTGACGTCTCCAATCCTGCCTGTTCCAGGGGAAGCTGCCTGTCCTGCTGCTCGGCCGCTCCTCGGAGCTGCGGCCCGGGGAATTTGTGGTTGCCATCGGGAGCCCGTTCTCCCTCCAGAACACGGTCACCACGGGGATTGTCAGCACCACCCAGCGCGGCGGCAAGGAGCTGGGGCTCCGGAACTCCGACATGGACTACATCCAGACGGACGCCATCATCAACGTGAGCGCCCTGCGCCCTGCTGGGGAGGAAAGCCGGGCTTAGGAAGCAGACAGAGTCCTGGGGGCTCCTAGAGGCCCCTAAAGCAGATAGGCGAAGGCCTGGTCCCCGGCCCTTGCACTCTGCAGGGAGGGGTGCTCAGAAGTGCTGAGGTCTGCGGTCCAGAGGTCTCCCCAGCCACCCAGGGGCCAGCAGCTTGCGCTCCAGCTGCTTCTGCAGGTTCCCGGCAGGAGGGCAGCGACCTTGGCAGAGGCTGGCCCCCAGGAGGTGCTTGCTGTGCCCTGGGGCACCATCCCTTTCCACTACACCGACAGTGTCCAGGAAGGCCGGGCCTGGCTCCGCACTCGGCTCAATGGATCCTTTAAAAGCCCACCCCCTGACAGCTGCCCCCCCATAGGCTGGACATTTCTGAAGTAGCAATTTTTCCCCCACATCTGTCTCATAAACGAGAAGCTCGGCCTGTTTTGTGTGCTAGCCCCTCAAATAGGCTTAATTCCTAAACTTTCTTGTGGACTTCATGAAATAGAACAGACTGGATTTCCAGCCCTAGCAGCAAAGCGGGGTCACGCGGGTGGGGGAGCCGTGCAGGTTTGTGAGGCTGGCGCAAGCGGGCACTCGGCCAGCTGCTGAAACAGGGAAGAGAGGGAGGAGGTGTTGGGGTTTTAGGGAGTTCACTGTTGGCTTTGGGGTTTGGAGCCAAAGAAGTAACTCCCATTTATCTTACATCTAGAACTTGCTGGAAACTGTTAAGGTCCTTCTATCCTAGCAAAATGTTAGGTTGCCAAGAACGAACCTTGGGAAAGAACTTTTACTTGGGGAACCCGCTAGGCAGGGAAGTGGGTTGTAATGACAGACACTCACAACCTTTTCATTTTTGCTTAATTTCAGTATGGCAACTCCGGAGGCCCGTTAGTAAACCTGGTAAGGCCTTTTTAAATCTATATACTTGCTCTTTTTTTTTTTTTTTAAGATTTATTTACTTACACAAGAACTGGGGTACAGGCCAGATGCGCGGGAGGGTGAAAGAAAGCACCAGAGACAGAGTGGGGAGCAGAACAGGCAGACTGACGAAATACACTGGTGAGGGGAGCAGCGGGCGAGACAGGCGAGGTCTGCCGTGCCATGTGGGATTCTCGCCAGCCAGCCGGTATCGAACCCTCACTATAGAGGCTGCGAACAGCTTCACAGCACGGCGCTCAACCGCCTGTGCCACCAGAGAGGCCCTTTTTTTTTCTTTCTTTTCAGACTTGAACTTGCCCAAGCTCACTATCTAATTTTTAAAAAGTGTACACTGTGAATGTCCTGTATCCTTGGAAATTACCCGCCTTATCTTTTCTGGAAAGAGTAAGGCATGCTGGATTTGAGAGTTAAAAATGTTATGCTTGGGTTTTGATGGGAAGGGAGGGAATTTCCTCTGTCCTTCTGGGTTCTTCTCAGGCTGGCCAAAGAATCAAATTAATATTGGACAGATTAACAGGAGAAAAATATACACATTTAATTACAGATGGCCCGAGGGAAATTCAGACCCTGGGCTTAGCTGCTTCCCCAGTGTACATTTGGGGGATCGACATAGACATGGATTCCAAGGTCAGTGAGGAGAAATGAGGGTATTTATCCCGAGCTAAGGAATGGCTAGGGACCTGGGATTCAAGGAGAGAGAGGGGCCCCCACAACGAGGAGACGGTGACTCGTGATAGAGGCTAGGCTCTGTGTCCTGAGATGTCTGTCCTGCCCAGAGACAGTTTTCTCTGATAAAAAGGTTATTTCTGGAGATAGCCCTAATTCTGGGTACTGTCCAGTTTTCCTCCTAGGTCGTCAGTGGAGTGGTAGAAGCCTCTAGTGAGCCTGCAAGGCCTCAATTGACCTCAGCTCTAAAAAATCCACAGTGACAGTGATAGGAAAAGCCTATTCTGAACACCTTGGGGAAGCCTGTCCTTCAGTCTTAAACAAGTAAATGCGGTGGAGTTGAGGCCCCGTGCAGGAGTAGCTGAAGGAGCAGACCTTTGTTTTGAAGGTGTCAGCAGTTCTGTCACAGAGAGGCACATCCTTCAACTTTGTCTCCGGCTGCCGAAGGAGCTTGTGCGGCTGGTCCCCAGTCTTTGTCTTGGCCCTGAGCCCTGGCTGGAATGAGGAGCCCCCCTCCCACTCCTCTGTTCACAGAGACGTCATTTTAGTTGATAATTAAGTGCTAAAGCATAAAAGTGAGGCCTTAGAATGAGCCTGTCAAGGTGAGGCAGCTCAGGGTCACCAGCCCCCTCCCTCTTAGAGGGGTGGTGCCCGGGGGTCCTTAGCAAGGCCCAGGATGGCAGTGGTCCTGGGCGGGCCCTGGAGTTGGGGGCTGGAATCTCTATGCTCCCAGGAAGTGTGAGAGCAGGGATGCACCCCCTCCCCGCCCCCCGCCCAGTCTGAGTAGAACAAACTGCTTAAGAGAAGTACTCAGGATAATGGGGAAATAGTGGGAGGTGGGTCTCGTGTTCCAGGCCTTGTTCTGGGGCGGCGCAGTCGCTAGACGGAACCTGGTCTGGAACGGAAGATAGAGACACCTTCGGGACTCGGTCTGTGACAGCAGAGGAGATGAGGCCTGGTCCTGCCCCTGTGCCCCGTCAGGCCTCGCAGGCCCTGGTGGCTGCTGCCTGGGTGGCATTTTCCTGGGAGAGGCATGTCTGCCCAAAGCAGGGTGGCTTTTCCCTGGTGTCAGCAGGGGGACCTTGGCAGTGGGAGAAGCAGGAAGGTGTGGACAGTCCATTGAAGTCTCAGGTTCTGGAAATGTGTTTCCTCTGAAAGGAGCAGATGGCATTTTGAAACTGTCGGATGCTGGCCTCCTGGGTGGGGAGAGGGAGGTCACTGGGGGAGACCAGAGGGTGTCCACTCGGCTGTGGCGGAGCTTAATGGCTCACGCTGCCCCGTGAGGCCTGTCCTCCTGTGCCCCCGGGTCCCCACCTCCATTCTTTTTTTTTTTAAGATTTATTTATTTATTTATACAAGCACTGGGTACAGTCAGAAGCGCGGGAGGGTGAGAGAATTCACCAGAGCCAGAGCAGGGAGCAGAACAGGCAGACTGACGAAGTACACTGCTGAGGGGAGCAGCGGGCGGCAGGGAAGGTCTGCGCGCCATATGGGATCCTCACCCGGTGGCCGGGGATCGAACTGGCGCTGTAGAGTCTGTGAGCAGCTTCACAACCCAGCGCTCAACCGCTGCGCCACCGGGGAGGCCCCCCACCCCCATTCTCTGCAGCAGCTCAGAGACTTCATACGCCGTCTCCATTCTGGGTGCATGGATTCATGGGTTCGCTGCGCTCCTCTTGCTTTTTCAGGATGGTGAAGTGATTGGAATTAACACGCTGAAAGTGACAGCCGGAATCTCCTTTGCAATCCCATCTGACAAGATCAAAAAGTTCCTTACAGAGTCCCATGACCGACAGGCCAAAGGTAAAGCCCGACCAAGACAGCCCGAGGGGGTTCAGACCCGGCCTGGCTGGTGTCCGGGACCTGCGGCCAGGGCACACGCCTGGCATCCGCCCAGCCTCGCGTCGGGAATGGGAGGGGTGCGGGTAGTGGAGCCGGTGTCGGGGTGCTGAGCTGTGATGCTCTCTGACCCCCAGCATGAAGGCTGGACACCGTCAGCCTAACACCTGCCAGGCGCTGTCCCAGGGGCTCTGCTACCCCATTTCCCGTCATTTCATACCTCGGCCTTGTCAGGCAGACATTTAGTCTCAATTTACTGATGAGAAAACCCCGGCTGAGGAGCTCTTCAGTCTACGAATGCTGACTGAGCCGTCTGCTCGGGGTCAGGCTGCGGGTTCCACAGCCCAGCAGGGTCTCCTGGGGGTGGGGTGCGTACATCCTGCCTGGGGGAGGATGACAGTAGACAGACAAGCTCATTTCAGATAGCAACATGTGTTTTCTAGAAAATACACAGGGCAGGAGGTGGGCCAGGGAGTGGCCGGAGGGCAGCTGGCGGGGCTGCGTGGCCAGGAAGCTCCCATGTCTAGCCCTGAAGAAGGGCGGGCAGGCGGGGGTGCGCGGGGAGAGCATTCCCAAAGAAAAGCGGCCATGCAGGGGCCAGTGCGGCGCGCCCGGTCATGCGTGGGCGGTGGGACCTGAGTGCAGTGAGCACGTGGGGTCACGGATGGGTGTGGGCGGGAGTCCCAGCTTGGGGTGAAGGCCGGCGCTTTCCCACTGCATGCGCACAGGGACTCATGGCCCGCCTGATGTCTTTGAAAGGCCGTCCTCGGGGCTGGGAGGGAACAGTGCTGGGGTGGGGGGTCAATGGGGAGACCAGCTGAAGCTCCCCCCTCATCCAGACCCGGGGAAAGTGAAGGGGGTCACCCCCTGTATGTGCATGGGGCTGAGGAGCTTCCTCAGATCCGAGGCTGAGCACAGAGGCTGCAGGGTCACTCCTGGGCCTGTGTCCATAGCTGATGGGGCTTCTCGAGGTCCCATGGAGCGTTGGGGTCTGACCTGAGGTTTGACCTCTGTGAGCCCTTCATGACCTTGACTTCATGCTGCGAACTGAGAAGTTGAGGCTCATGTTCACGGTGCCCACGACACGCCTGTCTGCTGGGCTCACCTTTGCTTGTCCTTTTCTGTTACCCCCAGGCAAAGCCATCACCAAGAAGAAGTATATCGGCATCCGGATGATGTCGCTCACGTCCAGGTGGGTGAGCAGGACGTCCCCTGGAGGATAAAGCTGAACCTCAGAAGGTCCCTCCTGACACCCCAGGAGAGAAACCTTGTAATGTCTTAAGACAATCTCATGTTCTGGTTAAAATTCAGTAATGTCAAGAAAGAGAGGCGGGGCTGCCGTGTTAGCCTTGGCCTCTTGGCATCAGTCTTTCATTTTTGCTTGTGAGTTCTGAGCTGGTTTTCCACTTTTACAGCAGGTCTTTCCTTCTAGAAGGCTCTGTCCCTTTAAAGGCATGCCTGAACGCCACGGGGTATGGGTCGCTCTCCCTTATGCCTTCCTTGCAACCACTTGCTGTGTTGACACACACATTCCCGGAGTGCCCGAGCACCTCCCGCGCCCAGGGCGCCTGCCTTGCCTGCGCTCGACCCTGTGGGCTGGGGCCCTGGAATGCTGTGTTGGGCCCGCATGACAGATGGGCTTGTTTTCCCGAGTGATGGAAGTTATGGCATGTGGCTGCCAGGCTCACAGCAGCCTGATGTTTCAGCCTTGATGAGCAAATGTGTAATCCCCTGAGTCCTGGCCACGAAGGGCGGGGCTGAAACTGTGGCATGCAGTGTGGGCAAAGAGCAGGACCTACGACTGCAGGTAGTGACGTAGTCATGATACTGCTGACCCTTGGTGAGTCATGGGCTCGTTGCTGCAGTTGTATTCGTGCAATGAGTGGTGGCAACTCGCTCAGGGCTGTGGGGCTTGGGCTGGTTTGCTGAAGCTCAGGTGAGCTCTGCTGACTTGCTCTAAAGCTCTGGGAGGCAGGTGTCGGGGGAGGTTGTGCTACTTCCTGGCTTGTGATCTTGGGAGCCACCTGATTTCTGAGTGCCTCAGTGTCCCGCTCTCCAGGATAATGGTGCAGGCATTTTGGGGACCAAGTAATGTAGTGTCTCAAAGCTTGGCTCAGTGGGTGGTGATGGTGGTCACTGCCCCTGTGACACTAGCTGCTGTTTGTCAGGGGCTTACTCTGTGCTAGGTGCTAGGGAGGCCTCCATGCCGCCTCGTCCTCATCACAACCCCGAGTGGAGAGACTGGTGTTACCCGGCTCAGCAGGTGAGGCAGCAAGGCAGAGAGAGGAGAAGCCACAGCCGGAGGTCACACAGGTCTCAAGTGGCTGAGCTGGGGTTCCACAGGCCAGCAGCTGATCCCAAGTGGTGGCTACAATCAGTTAGCTAATAAAATTAACAATAATAATGATGTAGCACTTCCCCGCTCACCCAATAGGGTCTTGACAGCAGTGGTCAGACACTTTATTTATTTTTCTTTAATGGCAAAATTTTTTTTTAAAGATTTATTTACTTATGCATACAAGAACTGGGTACAGGCCAGAATGTGAGAGGTGAGAGGACTCACCAGAGACAGAGTGGGGAGCAGAACAGGCAGATGGACTGAAATACACAGCAGAGGGGAGCAGCGGGTGAGTCAGGAGAGGTCTGCTGCGCCATGTGGGTAGCTCCATGGCTGGGGATGGAACTCGTGCTGCAGTGGCTGCAGGTAGCATCATATTGCTGAGACTTAACCCCTTGCTTCGCCAGGGAGGCCCGGGGCACTTTAAAACCGAATCAAATTCCTGGAGGGATTTTGCATCAGAATGGAGGGTGGAAAGGAGAAGCAGGTGCGTGAGGCCTCGTGGAGGGCCTGTTCTCACATGACACTAACGCACGTGCTCTTCTTCCCGGAGCAGCAAGGCCAAAGAGCTGAAGGATCGCCACCGAGACTTCCCCGACGTGCTTTCGGGGGCCTACATCATTGAAGTCATCCCCGACACCCCGGCAGAAGCGTGAGTTGGGCTGATTTTCCCCTTTCCAAATATCCCCGTGGCTCCTGGGGGTGCGGGAGGGGCCGGCGTTCTTCTCACAGGGCTCAGGCGCTGTGACAGCCCTTGACCACATGTCGGAAACGTCCTGGTCCATCCGTGCCCGTCAGGCCGTCCGAGCTGGCTCAGCTCCGGACTCACCCCCCGAAGGCACATCCTGTCTTCAGAAGCCCCCACCTCACCGGGCTTATCCAGTGGAAAGAGCAATGCCGGACTCCTTGCGAGTCTCGGGGCAGGCCTGGCTGGGGAGGAGGGTCGGGGAGCAGTGTCCCCGAGGGCTCACGCTGTGTCTGGGGAGGGGCTCCAGGAGGTGTCTCCTCCAGATCCTTCTCTAGTTGTGTCGCCATCACTTGGGCCACACCTGTCCAGCGCCAGAAAAGTAGCCCAGGGGACATCACCGTAATGTGGGAAGAACCAGCTCCGCCAGCAGGCAGGGTTTGCTGCCTACGTTGACGTGATGGTCACAGAGAACCGCTAGACGGGGGGCTGGTAAATTATTTGCTGGGGACCTGAGCTGCCTGCTTGCGAATGACCCATGGGCTAAGAATACATTTTGCATTGTTAAATGGCTGGGAAAAAGTCCCAAATAAGAATAGTCCTTTATAAAACATGAAAATTATATAAACTTCCCATCTCAGTGTCTGGAAATGAAGGGTCGCTGGAGCCCAGCAGGTCTAGCTGACCTCACGTTGTCTGTGGCGGCTCTGGCCCTGGTAGCACAGTTGCATTGCTGTGATGAGACAGTAGGGTCTTGCAGAGCCTAAGGTAGTTCTCATCTGGCCCCTTAGGAAAGGTTAGCTGACCCCTGTGCTGGGCTGTAAAGGGCCGTCCGCCGTCATATTTAAGAGCTAATGTTGCAGCAACAGCCACGCCCAGGGAGTGTCCACATCCACGCCCCCTCCCCTGGAGGAGCTGCTCTCTGCACCGGGACACCTGTGACCAGCAAGCTGGCCGCGGCCATGGTCCATGGTGTGTCCTTGCTTCCTTTGGGGTCATCCGTCATAGGGTCCACGCAGGCGAGCACTGGTAGACCTCTCTGCCGTGGACACGATGGATGATTGTCTTAAACATCCCAAAAGGAAATGCAATCCGTGGAGGGTCCAGGCCATTCTCACGCTGCTTGGCTGCCCCCCGCGCTGCGTGCTCTGGCCTTTTCGGTTCTACGCTGCGCCCCGCGAGGGGTGCAGGGGTTCGCCAGCTGTGGCAGTGAGCCCGGGAGGGACAGAAATGTGACTGCCGTGTCTCCCTGTGTTGCAGCGGTGGCCTCAAGGAGAACGACGTGATCATCAGCATCAACGGGCAGTCGGTGGTCTCCGCCAACGACGTCAGTGACGTCATCAAGAAGGAGAGCACCTTGAACATGGTCGTGCGCAGGGGCAACGAGGACATCATGATCACCGTGATCCCCGAAGAGATCGACCCCTAGGCAGCAGCATGAGCTGGACTTCATGTTTGCCTCAGAGACTCCCGTGGACGCTGCATGATTTCTGGGCTGCTGGCCCAGACGCCCCAGACTGTGGACCGCCACGTTGCTCATTCAGCAGACTTGTCCTGGGCAGCAGAATCCTTGATAGTTGGCAGGCAAAACCAATGTAATGTCGTAGATCCTTAGGCAGAAGCTCGCCCTTCTGCAGCCCATGTACACGGTGTGCTTTTCCCTTTTCCTTGCCGGCTTGACCGTTCCTGTGCAGACAGGATCGCTTGACCGTTCCTGTGCAGGCAGGATCGTCTCCTCCTTTAACCAAGTCGTCATCTTAGTCCAACTAAGGCAGTTGACGTAATTCGTAGATCAGAGGACGGTCTCTTGGGAGCCAGGGTGGCACTGGGCGTGTGGCTGCTTCCCTCCGGAGACCACGGGCGGGTGAACGCTGGCTTCCAAAGTGGCCGGAGTTGCCTCTTGTAGGAATCTCTTCAGAACTGGGGCGCCATGACTCTGATTTTGGGCTATTAAAATACTCCTTCCTATTCTGCTTCCTCGTGTGCTTCCTCTCCCTGCTCACCAACAGCTGCCTGCCGTCTCTTTGAAATGATCATCATGTCCGTGGACTCCTCGTTCAACCCCACTGTCCAGGCAGGGTCGAGATCAAAGTCTTACCAGTTATTTCAAAATCATCCTGGGGGCTTTGCCATGTTATTAACAACTGCATGTGGCCATGCTGGCTTCAGAAAGTAGGATGTGAAGACGGTTTTACCTGCGTCTGGAACTGCATCTATTGACCCCATCTGTCACGCAGTCACTAGTCAATGCAAGTTTTCTGGGGCACTGCTTGGGGTCAGGCTGCTGCTAGGTGCAGAGGGTCTGTCCAGGGCAGGGTGGACCCGCCCCTCCTCTCCAGAGCTGAGTCTTGAAGGCAGGTCCCTTTCTGAAAGGGAGTCAGTTCAGGCGAGTGGATGGAGCTCTCTGTCTCAGAGGGCCCGGGCTGAAGCTGATTCCAGTCATCCTGGGTTTAGAAAATAGAACTAGACCTTCATCTTTGGGGGGTTGGCACAGGGCTCCCCTTGCCAGGTCCTCCAACAAGAATGGCCTTAGGCACCTCTGTCTCCATGAAAACTTCCAGGAGTTTGGGAAGTGGATCCAAGGAGATCATTGCAAAACTTTAGCTGGAAGTTTGCACGGGCTGAGTCCCGGCGGAGCAAACAGCAGAGCACAAGGCTGTTTACGCCAAGAACAGAGGAAAAGGCTTTCTAGTCCTTGGCAGTAAAAAGGGGGAACTTGGGCAGGATGGGGGTTCAGTTCTCTAGACTGTCCTGAGAGGTCTTGTACCTGCAGGTGTACTTTGTAGCTGGAAAGGCTGGGGAGGGCCACAGGTCAAGTTCAGTGGGCACCCTCCAATGGCACGTCCCGCATGAACTGTGGTGCCAGGCCCTGAGCCTGGACTTTGCAACCCTGGCGTGTCCTTTACTCTCTGCCTCAATGACCTTTGAGTCAGGAAGGAGCCAGAACATCCTTTCCCTCTTGGCGTGGGATATATAGTCCCTCCCTCTCCAATAAAGGAGATGACTCAGAGAGCAGCCTGGGGCTCCAGGGGTCACCCTCCAAGTGTTGATCCCCTGGGCAGGAGTCAGCTAGGTGACTGGTGAGCCCAAACCCTCTGTCACATAGGCAGCCTCTCCCCAGGGCCACGGACTCTGGGGTGGGGGTGGGGGTGGAGTTTCACCCACACAAGTGGTACATGCAAAGCCATGGCCCCTGTGGGCACACTATGTGTCCTGTGGGCACACTATGTGTCTGTTTCCAGGGTTGTACTAACCCGTGTCCTACTCAAACTTGTTTTCATGAGGCCCCTGGAGACAGGTGCTTCAGGCTGTGGTGGAGGATTTTGCCACATACGTTAACCTTCAGACCTGAGCGGCAGAGCTAAGTTGAAGGAGAGTGGCTTTGGGAGCTAGATGACTTGAGTTCAAATCTGCATCTTCCTGGCTGTGTGACCTTTGAGCAAGTTCTTAACCTCTCTGCCTGTTTTCCATCTGCAGAAGGGGGATAGTGATAGTACTTCCTACGGCTGGTGTGGGAGTTAAATGAATTAATACATGGCACATGGTGAACCTTCAATAAATGTTAGCAACATACGGGTTACTTAATGCCTGTGAGCCTCAGGTGACCCCTATGTAGAATGGGGAATACGAATGATGTCCCCTTGTGCTGAGCTGCGAGGATTTACCACCGTGGCCTATGCCACTAGGTAAATACAGCTGCTCTTGTTAGCCTGCCACCATTCTGGCCTGGAGTAGCATGACAATCGCTGACATCTGTTGGGTGCTTGCTGCGTGGCAGACTCCGTGCTAAGCGTTTTACATTTTTTAGCTCACTAGTGTCTCAGATCAGTCCCAAAGTGGGTTCTACATGTGACCCCTTTATTTTTTTTAAAGATTTATTTATTTATGCATACAAGAACTGGGTACAGGCCAGAGGTGTGGGGGGGTGAGAGGACTCACCAGAGATAGAGTGGGGAGCAGAACAGGCAGACTGACTGAAACACACTGCTGAGGGGCGCAGCGGGCGAGTCAGGAGAGGTCTGTGTGCCCTGAGGGGATCTCCCTGGTGAGGGATCGAACTTGTGCTGCAGAGGCTGCGGACAGCTTCGTAGTGCTGTGTCTCAACCCCTTGCGCCCCCAGGGAGGCCCCACCTGTGACCCCTTTAGACAGTTGAAGACACTGACACTCAGAAATTAAGCTCATGTCAAAGAGCTACTAAGTGGGGGCTGTGGCCGAAGCCCAGGAGCCCCTGCTCGGTGCCGCCGGCCCATCTTCACTGCCTTAGGCCCAGAACTCAGCTCCCCCTGCTGTCGTCAGCCTGTGGCCTTCTCCCTGTCTGTGGAAGTGGCCTCGGGGCCCCTGGACTCAGCCCCTGTGTGCTCTGGTTCTTCCTGGCGTTTTCAGGCCCTCACAGTCTGTGCTCTCTGTCCCCGAGTTCCCTCCTCCTCACCCCTGGCTCTTCCAAGCTCGGTTTCCTCTGAGCCAGTCCTCGGCTTCCTGCTCTGCCAGACGTCAAGTGACGCCAGTCGAGGGGGCTGGGCTCCGTCGGCCCGTTTGCATCCCTTGCCTGGTCCCCATCCAGCCGGGCCAGATGTTTCTGTGGACGCACGAGCGCTGAGTGGATGCTGTGCCGGGCCGCTCTGGCGGGGCCAGCTCTTTGCTGGCTCCACTTCTCCATCGGAGAATTTGAAAGAATGCTCGCGTCTGATGAGTGTGCCGTGTGTTTTTATTAGAATTTCACGGTGCTGGTTTCCATCTGGTTTGCACGTTAGACTGGCTGAGCCTGGCGTGGTGATGTTTTGATTGGTGGGCAGGCAAACTCCACTGCTATCAGGGCCAGCCTCGCTGAGGTTGTGCAGAGGGGGTGAGGTCTGGTGAACAGGCTGTCCAGGTTCAAGGTTACCATGTAAGCTGCTTTCCCTTCCGAAGGGGAGGTCAGGGCTAAGATGGCCCCAGGGTGGCTTTGTATTCCCTGGCGAGTAGGTTTCAGCGCGTCTTGCCTACAGTGCTGATAGACAGGCCCTGGACGTCTGGGCCCAGTAGGTGGCGAGTCTCAGTGCAAGGGAGCAGTAAAAATCTCACATCTGGGTCTCGCTCTCAGCCATTCTGGGGCCATCATGGACACAGGCAGGCTGGGTTGTGGGGGGCTGTCTGGCCACCGCACCCCACCTTCTTCCTGGGCAGCTCCTCCTTTCTCCACTGACTGCCCTGTCAAGTCTCACCCGCTCCCTGGTGCCTAACTCTCAAGGCCCTCCAGGGCAGCACCTGCTCCCCAGCCTGGCCACAGGGACCCCACACTGTTTGAAAGAGGCGCCACTGGAGCTGGCTGTTGGGAGGGCCTATTTGCTACCCGGGTGGGAGCAGGCATTAGGGCCTCTGGGTGCTGCCTGTTCTGGAACGTGTGTTGCTGGCTACGCTTCTGAGCACCTGTCTCCCCTTGAAGCCAGTTCTAGGAGTCAAATAAAACCCAGGTGTTGGAAACACATAAGGGCCCTGGCCTCCGCGGGGCACTGGGCCTGGTTCTGGGGGAGCTACCTGGGCCCAGACCCCCGTGTGTCCTGTGTCTGGGCCAGCTAGGTTGATTCACTACTGTCGTTCAGGCTCCCACCCAGGGGCGGCCCTCTGGTGCTCCCATCAGAATGTGGGCGGAGTACGCACAGAGCAGGGGCCGCCCGCCAGCAGGAAGTTGTTTTATTTAGAACTTTAAAGTGATTGCCTCAGTGTGGGGCCTGCCAAAATCAGGGAAAAAAAAAAAAAAAGAAAAGAAACACTAACATGCATTTTTAGTTTTAAAAAAAGTGACTCAGACTTTGTAGGGAACAGTTTTCTGTTCCGTGGGTCTCTCCGGGTCAGGTAACTGTCATGCATGGCTGTGCCCGACCCTCCCCGCCCACCCTCCACGTCCACCACCATCGCCAGCTCCGCCAGCCACTAGGAGAATGTGCTGTGTGCACATCCGTCCACAGCTCCCGATGAGGTGGTTATTATCGGCACCCCATCTTGCAGATGAGGATGTTGATGCTCAAAGCAGGTAAGTAACCAGCCTGAAGTCAGGCAGCGAGGAGGGAAGTGGAGTCGAAGCACTGATCCCAGGTGTCTGGTTTCCAAGTCCCCCTTAACTGCAGGTGTACCCCCTTTGGTTGATGCCCATGGCCCCTCTCTGAAGCAGTCAAGGCTCAGTGGCTGGCGGTGAGAATGACTTTACCAGACAGGGAGGCTCACACTGTGTGGGCATCAGGCCCCGTGAGAGGCCCTAAGTGCCGGGCAGAGAGAGCCTGGGGACACCTCCGTCCCCCAGAGCCGTCCAGATCTCCAGGCTCCCTCCTGCAGCGGATTGTCCACTGACCATAAACCTGAACTTCATCTGACCAAGAACCCGCAATGCTCAGCTATCTTCTGATTTATTACTCTTGTCTTCCCCTCGTAGATAAATTGCCCTGACATCTAGAGAATGACCCGGGAGAGGTGCAGCCAACGGGAGAGAATGCGAGCTGCTCTCTTGTACTAATGGCAGTTGATCAAAGTGAAGAGCTCGCTTTCCTAGACGTGGCCACTAAGCCAGGGTCAGGCAGGCACCTTCCACTTTTACTCACAGCCCTTTGTCCTGCACTGGTTTGGGGCCCCCGCGCTGTGCTGAGGCTTTCCAGCCTCCACCCCAGTGAATTCTGGTGGCACCTCCATCAACCATGTGAGAACTCTGTTTAGGGGAGACTGAGGCTCAGGCTGGTGGCTTTCCTTGCTTAGTGACGAGCTGAAGTCAAGAGCAACCTGTCCACCTCGGATCCCATGGGCTGGTCCCCAGGGCTCCCTGCAAGATGCCACGAGCAAGCCCTGTCCTGGCTGCCCAGCGGTCTGGAGCCCCAGATCGGATTCGGCCGGGAAAGGGGATGAACGCTTGTCAAGCACAGTTTTCTCATTCGTGAAAATTACTTAAAATGTGCTAAGCCATAAGTCCGCAGCGTGAAAACACTTCCATGTATCTGGAAAGGCAACTTATATTCACACAAACACCTG